TCCCGCTGTCCCATATTAGGATCCTATCGCATAACAGGGGACTTTCCTCTGTCTATAAATCGCGACTTCTCAAACACTTCGCGGAGATTCAATCTAGAGAATTATTGGAAATTTTAATTTTGTGTTGAGATAATTGTCTCTTAAAATTTCTCCTGCAAATCGTGTAATCGTGGGACAACGTGGCATTTTGAAGAATTTTATGAGCTTTAGTAGCAATTCCGAGACTATTTCTGACAGCGGGGACATTTAACGAACACTAGCGAAACGAAACAACAGATTAACACGCACGGAACGTCATCGGCAGTGGATTGACTTTGCTCTCTCCATTTTCTTTTCGATCATCAATGTCCTACGGCTTTCGGGGCAACGAGGGGATTTTTATGGGGTAGCCACGATCCGAAAAGTAACCCTCTTGTTGTGTTACGTACGAGCTAAACAGCTAAACGCCGCAAGGGAGTACGCTTAAAATTGGAATTTAGGTGCGTCCGCGGGTCTCGCTTTTGCCATTAAATTCTAAGTTATTGATCCTCACCGAGGGCGACGGTTGTCTTAAAGAATGCCCCGAGATCTCGTGAGGCGTGTCTAACGCGCGTTTGACATACGCCACTTGGAGACGTCATAAACGCGTTTAACGCTGCAGACCTCTCGTTATCTTTAAATGCGGATTAGCGGAAAAAATTAGGAAAGAATTCGACGAGATTCGACCAAATTTACGATGTAGAATCACGGACGTAACGATTCGCCTCACGAGGTATCGCTTAAAACTTTTATAACGTCTCGATCCTACGGGAAAAATATTCAATCGTCAAGTCAGGTATCGAAGTATCGAATTTGAGATTGTTACACTACGAAGAGAGACGACGAACGTGTCACAGTTTTACGTTCGAGATCGACGCATGAAATCTCTTGATGCGACAATGAAAAATTTAATTAACGTAATTTCCAAAAGCAAGGTCAGAGTTGATTGGTCATTTTTAATTTTGTTAACGCATAAAGCATCGCGAACTGTGCACATAATGTACAGGTAATTATTTTAAATACAATTGTAGTATGAAAGCGAATGTCTGTGTGTTGCTATAATATTGTTGTCAAGCCCGGCTTGGGCTGTCGCGAGAGGTGCGGCGAGTCGAGCGCGATCGATGAGAGTTGCGAAAATAACAGAAGACGATCAAAAAAGAAGGACAGGCAGCGCACGTGCGATTGTTTTGGCGACGCGGAGAATCGGCGAGCGGAAGATTTTAGTCAGTTGTCGATGGACTTTCGGCGAGTAGAAGTCAGTCGACAGAAGTTAGTCGTAGCGAGTCGAAGCGAGCGAGTCGAAGCGAGCGAGTCGAAGCGAGCGAGTCGAAGCGAGCGAGTCGAAACCAGCGAGTAAAAGCAAGAGCGTGCTACGAGCAGCAGTGTCTTGAGCGTTATGGAAATAAACCCTTATTAAAACTATCCGAGCACAGTTCCCACATCATTATTAACCGGAATCACCTACCATCCTACTTCTGATTCCTACAACTTCTGGGGGCTCGGTCCGGGATAGTGCGAGGATAGTGCGTGAAGTGAACAGTGTGTGCCCGCGCTGAAACAGTTCAAGTAGTTCAAGCTTACTTGACGAAGTAAGCCGGCAATTAAGACGAAAGCGCAGAGCTGTGTGCGTTGACGGATTGTCAGAGACGAACTTAAAAGTACAGTCAACTAGCGACGAGTGTTGCGTCATTCGACATGGATTCTCTTACCGTTGCTGAGCTCAAGAATATCCTAAAGAGCAAAGGACTTCCCATAGGAGGATCAAAGGCCGACCTGCAGGAGCGCTTACGAGCGTCCGGCCTAGCAGACGAAGATGTGCGTGCCTTGCTTTGCGAGAATACCGACGACACGCAAAACGGTGCGGCTGATATCGGTGCTGCAGCGATATCTCTACAAAAAGAAGTCGAGTTGATGAGACGAGAAAGAGAGTTGCTAGAGCGAGAGTTTGCGGTGGCTCAACAAGAAATCGAGATGCTACGGAGGGCACAAGCTGAAGTCCGATCCGGAAGTCAGGGAGACCCCGGCAATCGAGCCCAGCAGCGCGAGGAACCTGCGTCGAATGTGCCAGCCAGCGGGGTAGCTGCCACAAAACTAAGTGTAGCGACGATAGCCGATCTCCTTAGTTATTTCAACGGGAGCTCTGAAAACTTTGAGACGTGGCAAAAGCAAGTTGTTTTTCTCAAAACGGCTTATAAATTGGAAGACAACATGACGAAGATTCTCATCGGTATGCGGCTCAAGGGAAAGGCGCTCGAGTGGTTTCACTCGAAGCCCGAATTCATCGAGATGAAGGCGGACGAATTGCTGACGGCGCTGAAGGGCATGTTCTATCATCGACCGAATAAAATTGTGTTGCGACGTAAGTTTGAGGAGCGTGTCTGGCGAAAAACCGAATCATTCCATGATTACGTGCACGAGAAAGTTATTCTGGCGAACCGTATCTCTGTGAGCGATGACGACGTCGTTGGCTACATCGTCGAGGGAATTCCGGATCCAAATCTCCGAGACCTAGCCCGTGTCCATGGATTCACATCGAGAGAATCTCTTCTGGCGGCGTTCGAAGAGATCACTCTGCAAGATCGAGACGGTTCATTGGCGTCCGGCGGCGGCGGCGGTGCGAAGTTCAACAATAAGTCCGACGGCGGCAAGCGTAAGGCGGATAAGCGTGAGAAAGATGCGAAAGGCGTAGCAGGTGAGGAGAAAGATACAAGCGTGACGAAAAAACCGGAAGTGACGAAGCGGTGTTTCAATTGCGGTAAGCGAGATCACATAAGCGCGGCGTGTCCCGAGAAAGATAAAGGTCCGAAATGTTTTGAGTGTAGAGAATACGGGCACATCGCGACGAATTGCCCGAAAAAACAAGTCAACGCTAACTGCGTTACAGCCCGGTCGACATCAAAGAAACACGGCGTGGATGTAAAAATAAATGATATTCCAGTTTCGGCGATTCTCGACACGGGTAGCGATTTGACGATAATGCGCGCGGATGAATATATTAAAATCGGGGCGCCAAAGTTAATCAATAAAAAGGTTCCATTCCGCGGCGTAGGAACCGAGGCAAATACGACGTTAGGCGAGTTTGACGCGACGATTACAGTTGACGGGAATGCATATCCGATATTAATTCGCGTGATCTCCGATTGCCTTTCTCGACACAAGTTGTTGGTCGGTCGTGACTTTTTAGACACAGTAGATCTAAGCGTTAAACGCGGCGTAGCGAAAATTAGTCCCGCGCATGACGATCCCGTCGGGAGCGAGGTACCGGAAGTTTATCAGATTGATGTATTCGCGGAGTCCGAGGTGAAGTCCGTTGATTTGTCTCTTGTCAGCGACGTAAACCATAGAGCAGCCGTTCAAGATCTCATCGGAAATTATAATCCGATTCGAACTCGCGAGGTAGGAGTTGAAATGAAGCTCATACTTAAAGATGATGAGCCAGTGTATCAGCGAGCGAGGCGTTTGAGTATACCCGAGCGTGACGATGTGAATGCTCAAATACAGCAATGGATAGATGATGGCATCGTGAGGCCGTCAGTCTCTGACTATGCGAGTCCAATTGTGTTGGTCAAGAAAAGGGACGGAACAAACAGAATTTGCGTAGATTACAGGATGCTCAATAAAAAAATTATCAAGGATCGATATCCGTTGCCCTTAATTGAGGACCAATTGGACAAGCTACAAAACGCGAAGAAGTTCAGTACGTTAGATTTGAAAAATGGTTTTTTCCATGTCAAAGTTAACGAACAGAGTCGGAAATTCACAGCCTTCATTGTCCCTGACGGACATTATGAGTTTATGAGAGTTCCTTTCGGTCTGTGCAATTCTCCAGCCATTTTTCAAAGATTCGTAAACGCGGCTTTTAAGGATTTAATTCGAGACGGCGTTATATTGGTATATATGGATGATTTAATAATTCCTTTGGCTGATTGCGAGAGCGGATTGAAAAATCTGAAACTTGTTTTAGATACTGCGAGTTTAGTAGGACTGTGCAGAAATTGGGATAAATGTAGTTTTCTACAGAGTCGAGTCGAGTTTTTAGGTCACATTATTGAAAACAATCAGGACGATGTCAGAAGTTGAACATCGACCGGTGTTTAGAAAATCAATATGTGGATGCCGTTATATCTTTTTCAGCTGTGAAATCATCCAACGGCAGTTTGCTATTCCATTTATCGCCCTGAACTGTTTATTCTGCGCGAGAGAACTTTGAATTTTTTTTAAATGTATCGCGCGTTTTAAAATTGCATTTCTCCCACGAACGTAGAGGAAAGTATCCCCTATTATGAGATAGGCTCCTAATATGAGATAGCGAAATCTGTTTAGTGGAAAATTGATTGCCAGACTGTGTAATCGTAGCGAGAAAAGATCTGCGATTGAATTTGGACGTTGAAAACCTACTGTCTCACGTTAGAATCTTATTTCATAATACAGGGCTTTCCTCTATATCGTCAAGATGAACGACTCGCTTTTAAGAGTTTCTTGATAAAATTTTGGAAGTCCGTTATATTTCAGAGTATTATATGCTAATTTTATTGAATATTAATATCTATTCGATGTCTTAAAAAAAAAGATTTATCCAGTGTTCACTTAGTATTACTAATTATTGTTTGCAAGTATTTTGTTGCAATAATTTCGAGATTTTTCTTTTATTACTTTCACAATGCGCTGTTCTGCGAGGCTAATGCTTGTATTACTTATTTCAACAAATTAGTTACGTGCCATAATGGCCCCGAGCGAAGAGATTCTAGGCAGGGCAAAACTTCGCGAAGCTCATCCGAATAAATCAAACGAAATCGTCCCAAGTTCTTACGTAAGTCTGCAAATATGTAAAACGCTGTAAATTACGCTGTTGTGTTTCAATGTTAATTTACTGGGGTTACATTTTTTTTGTACTATACAATTTCCCCCCGTTTAATATTTCACGCTTTAATTTCCAACATTTTCCTTCTCTTATCTTCATACGTTACTTAACGTAAAGTCGCAATATGAAAGATTGCACAAACGTAAAAATATAATTGCAGTAAAGAAAAATAACAATATAATTTATGACGACCCATAATACTAGAATTGAACTGAGCCTGTTTGTAATCTATTAAAAATCCAATTGCAATTTTTCTGTTGTATTTGTGATAAGTTTAGGTAAGACAGCCATCTAGCATTGTCGCTATGCGCGAGGCTACCGTGCGTCAGAGACCGAGCTAGTGTCAACAGCGTTTATCTTCCTTTGTCTTTTTGGGCGATGGTCTTTCGTCCACGATAGTCTTTTGTCTACGATAATCTTTTGTACACCGAAACCAGCGAGAACATGTAACGAGCGCAGCAGTCTCTCACGAGAAGTCGTACGGGAAGGTTGCGACTCGAAGCATCCCGACTTTAATAAACTGTTAAAACATCATCCCTACGACTTTGACTCTTACAATCTTCAGAAGTGGGATTGATTCACCCGGGATACGTCCCAAGTATCTCCCGATTGATTCACCCGGGATACGTCCCAATCAAGTATCTCCCGAATGATTCACCCGGGATACGTCCCAAGTATCTCCCGATTGATTCACCCGGGATACGTCCCAAGTATCTCCCGATTGATTCACCCGGGATACGTCCCAATTAAGTATCTCCCGATTGATTCTCCCGGGATACGTCCCAAGTAAGTGCGTGAAAAGTAACGTATGAGTAGTAACTGTGTAAATACGGTCCGCAGTGAAACTGACTTTACGCGAGACAATCGGTTGCCTTGTGTGTGAGTGTAAACGACGGCCACGAAGTAAGGGCTGAAGTCGTAGCAGAAGTGTGCTGACGAGGCTGTAACGAGGCTTCAAAATGAGTGATCCTAACGTGCTTACGGTCGTGGAACTGAAAGAGAAGCTACGGCAGATGAATCTAGCCACCAGCGGTAACAAGGCCGAGCTAGTTCTGAGGCTAAGTCAAGCCGATCCCTCTGGCCACTGGGCGATTGGTCGTGGAACGGATGCTGGTACCGGCGAGGAGAATGAAGAGGCTCAAGATGCAGCGTCAGGAGGTGCGACAGACGGACGGCAAGGGTCAGGACAACTGAGCGAACTGGAACTCGACCTTTCGAGACGAGAAGCCGAATTGATGCGGCGAGAGCTAGAGTTCATGAGAAGAGAGAACGAATTTCTACGCATGTCAATGTCGCAAGGAGCATCAGTAAGTGACGTCAGAGCAGCGCCACGATCCGAGGATGTACCGACGAGGATTAGCCTAACGAATATGAAAGAAATGTTACCAACGTTTAACGGTAAGAAGGGATCTTACCGATCCTGGAAAGAGCAGCTTATGATGGTAAAGGAGATGTACCGATTAGACGACAACATGA